CCCCCCCCCCCCCCCCCCCCCCCCCCCCTCTCCGGGCTAATTGAGAGACAGGTAAGGTTACATGTGTCAGCAATTAAGGCGAGCGCGAGGCCAACTCTGAGCCCGAGGCGCAACAGGCGCGTGAGGTTTGGCGCTTTTCTGCCTCTGAGGAGAGAAAAAACGCTAATAAAACCGCTAATAAAAGGTTTTTATTGTCATTATAATCATTATTAAGATAGATAGATAGATAGATAGATAGATAGATAGATAGATAGATAGATAGATAGATAGATAGATAGATAGATAGATAGATAGATAGATTTAACCTCACATGACACATCAGGACCCAAAAAAAAACACACACACACAAAAAAAGCAAGAATTTACATTTTCAATAAGAGAAAACCTTGTTTTTTGTCTTATCTGACGCCATAAAAAAAACCTAAAGATATAAATATAACATCGAGATATGATTTAAAACTCTGCCTCTGATAGCTTAACTATTACCTCTCATATATTATAAATATAAATCTTAGTTTTCCACTCCTTTTTGCTCTAAAAGTCCCAGATTCGTTCTTTAATTTTGTCTCGTTTTAAACGTTTTAACGACGCTCGCCAAAATAATATAAACATTATTTATGTTTATATTATTGTGAGGCTCCACGGGACAAATCTGGGGTCCGGGTTTCCCATAAAAGCTCCAGGTGAGCCCCCTGATTAGTTGGAGCCCTCTTCTGGTTTCTGTCTTATTATGAAATAACCGCAAACATTGCGTCACAGGAGGAGAGAGAGAGAGAGAGAGAGAGAGAGAGAGAGAGAGAGAGAGGGTCTCCTGTCCGGAGCCTTTTCGGCCACGCGTGAACGCTTGTTTCCCACTCAGACCCACGTCAGACCAAAAAGGCTTTTCCGATCGATCTCCGTCCAATCAGAGGCCTCCAAACGCCTTGGCCACGGGCTTTTTGGGGGCCAATGGCGGCCGTCCCTCGGTGCGCTCCAGAGGGGAGGGGGGTCGGCGTTTTTTTGTGTTTGGGGTCTAGTGGGGGGGGGGGGGGAGGGGGGGGGGGGGGGGGGTGGGGGGGGGGGGGAATCTGAACGAGGCACCCAGCGAGTGACACTTTCCCCCAAACCTCAGATCGGCTCCGGCTCGCGGAGAGCAGACGCTGTGGGGAGCTCGCTGCGTCCAAAAAAGCCGCCTCCAGCGCGCGCACGCGCACACACGGACGCGCAACACGCACACGCACGCTGACACACAGACGCGGGGGGGAATCCGAGGATCCCGGAGCCTCATCTCCGCGCGCACGGACGCACGGCTGGACCCAGGACTTCTCCACCTCCCTGGGACTTGATTGTTTTTGTTTTTTTGTTTTTTCTAACTAAACTGGGACTAAACCGGGACTAAATAGACAATCTACCGCGAGCGGAGCGCACGTGGTGGGTATTAAAATAAGCCTTTTTGGGGTTTGTGGTTTGGATCAGACCACAGAGAGGTGGAAGATCTGCCTCCTGACTGTCCTCCGCTTTTCCCAAACCCAAAGGACGCAAATAAGCCACTAAGTCGCGTTTTTACGCGTTTTGACGCGTTTTTTACGCGTTTTATTTTTTACCCGGACCGTGAACTCACCGGTAAACCGGACCGGACTTTTCCCCGCGGGCTGAACTCCGGAGACCGGCGCGTTTATGGATCGCCTCGCGACTCGCAGGCTGTGCGCGCGCGCATCGATCACGCTCAAACCTCCCCGGGACCTCTGTTAGATGTTTACGGAGAGAATCAACTGATATAGATCTATTTTTCACCCTGTTTTGTTTTTAGTTGTTTTTCTTGTTTTTGTTGTTTTTTTTTGTGCGTCAAAACTCCGATAAGGAAGCTCCGTTCCTCCCTCTTTTTTTCCCATCTCCCCCCCTTTTTCCCCCAATTCTTCCAAGACGTCAGGACGGATCTCTCAAGTCTGATTTGAAACAAAGACGACGGGGTTGTTGTTGTTTTTTTTTGTCTTTCGGGGGGGGATAGCATGGCAATGGTAGTAAACCAGTGGCCAGAAAACCTTCCCGCGGACCCGGGCTCGCAGCTCCAGATGTGCGGTCCGGAGCCCGGTGGGGGGGCGGGGGGGGGGCCGGGGACCCCCAACGGATCCACGCCGGGCAACGACGCGCTGTCCGGGGACAAGATCCCCAACGTGGACTGCATGGTGTGCGGGGACAAGTCCAGCGGGAAGCACTACGGCCAGTTCACGTGCGAGGGCTGCAAGAGCTTCTTCAAGCGCTCCGTGAGGCGGAACCTGACCTACACGTGCCGCGGGAACCGGGACTGCCCCATCGACCAGCACCACCGGAACCAGTGCCAGTACTGCCGGCTCAAGAAGTGCCT